GTATGCTCAGAGGACCAAAATCAAATGTCATTATTTGTGAGGTTCTACTTGACTTCACATCCCCGGTGCAGAAAAGGCTTTATCGATCCCTTCACGTGCAGGAGAAGGGCAATGGCAGAGCCTGACTGGAATAACCCCTCTGGCATTTCGCATTAAAACAATAGCAGCAGCTTTAGAGCCGCAGCTCAGGAATCCCAGGCAGGCTCCCAACAAGCTGACAGCACAAAAGGTTGATGTTATCAGCCCCTCTCCCACAACCAAAGGGCGTTTTCCACGGTTTTTCCTTCATTATTTTTCCCCCTTCTTGTCTCAGTGCTCTTGGGAGGTACAAGGGCTGTTCTGTGCTGGATGCTTTTGGTGGGAGGCAGAGAAAAGGAAATTTCCTTTCTGCTAGTTCCCATTCCTGCCTCCTCCATCCAGCACTACATTAGCAAATGCCTGAGGACTTGCTGCCTACTCTAAATTTATAGAAAACACCCATTTTTTTACCCTTTCAGACCCCTGCTTTCAAAAACCCCCAGCATTTGACAGGTGGCTGTCAATAGAAGTCCTGGGTGTTTCCACTGTCCAAGAGGGATCTCCCAGGTTTATCCTCAGGTTTTTCCTCAGTTCTCCCTTTGCTCCTGCACACATGGCTATTTCCATCACTGCTGATTTTTGCTAAAAGGAAGAAAAAGGTGAACAATGAAAAGCTTTGATATCCAGCACTCCTGGAGCAGCAGGGACTCAGCCCACGTGCAGGAGGCAGATTTTTCTGCCTCTATCAAACTGTTTAAAAATACAAACACATTTTTCAAGTCAGGCTTCCTTTCATCTCCCTCTGTCCCATTTATCACCTCTTGAATGTCAGAGATGTCAAATTATGTAAACATGAGCCACCTATATGGATGGAAGGCAGGTAAACAGCTCCAAATAAGCATCCTGTGCAATCCTCAGGGAAAATGTCCCACAAAATGCTTACTCCCACTTGATTCTGTGAGTGAGCCTTCCCTTCATGCTTTAGAGAGACCACCCCCTCAAGCATCAAGAAATCCAGTTAATCCAGCAGAAAAGGCAGCACCAAGGTATCCTCCAGCACTCACAGAGACTACAAGACTTCCTGACAGGAGTCAGACTAGAAAATAAAATTGCTTGGGGGTTAAAAAATAAACAAACAAAAGCTGGGAAGAACAGCACAGCACAATTCATCAGTGTGTCAGATGACAAGCCCTAATCCCAGGCCATAAGGCAGAGGATGCAGACCAGTAAGGGCATGCTGCTGTCATGGGACTGGGGGATGACAGCAAACCTGTGTGCTGCCTGCATGGGATGTTTCCAGAGCAAACATTGCGAGTGCCAGATGGAGAGAGGAGCCCTCAGAGCCCTGCTAGGCTGTGCCTGCTGCAGGCTCTGTGTCCCTGGCAGGTTTTTATTGGTGTGTACATCCTTTATTGCTGAACCAACTCACACCCCAGCCAAACACAGCTTTCCAGGTGAGGGGCCACATCCTCCCTTCACCATCCTGCTCATCCCAAACAGGCACCAGATCCCCATTTTCCAGGAGCAGCATGAAAATGGGGTGCTGGCAGCTTTAATGAGATAATCCCATCTGAAAGTCAAACAAAAATGGGAATTAAAGCCAGGGCAAGTTTACTGTATCAGTGATTTTCCACACAGTCAATTACCAAGGGAATTCTGAAAGGGAAAGCAGGGCTGGCTAAAGTCTGTCAAAACCATGAAATATTCCCCTACCCATAAAATAAAGCTTTCCAAAATGTGCAGGCAGCTGTTTTGCCACATCTGGCAAACTTCAGCTCTCTTTCCAATGGATGACAGGAAAACCACATATTCCAGGTCTGAGTGGGGACCCTCACACAGAGAGTTTCATATCTGGAAGTCTCACTGGATTCACAAAGAGGAAAGACCTCTAAAGATCACACAATTAACAAATCCTCATTAGCTGGAGTTCTACTGGGATGGCAAGTCAACCTTATTGAACAAACAGCCAACAGTCAGAATTCCAAATGCCACAGATGTGCATGGATTTATAGTTGTTTTTCAAATGGAATTAGCAAACAAAGTGGCCTTTTTGATTCCAGAGTCCAATATCAACACAGCTGGGAAGCCCAGTGACTGAAAGAGGGAACTGTGCTGTAAGGTGAGCTTACAAACTCCTCCAGCAGGGCTGGGAGCCGTGGAGCTGCTCTGCATTCTGATTTATTTCTATTTTTAAACTTGCGAGGTTTGTAATTAATGGCTTGGAGACATGAGGAGAATTGGAACAAACCTCAGCCTCAGCTTCCTCTGCGTGTTGTTAATGGCTGCTCTGGCCACTAATGTGCTCCAATTTTCCCCACATCAAGCTCATGTGATCCAAGCTGCAGGAAAGAGAGTGGATTTGTAATCGTCTCTCTGATGTACAGGTTAATTGCTGACTTTTATCAGACAGCAGTTAAACAAAGACTTGGAAAGAAATAAATATTCCTTAATTGCAGCACTGCCACTGCTCACAGTGGGAGAGCCTCTGGAAGGAGTAGCTGGTCCCCATTATCACTGTTCCACACTCAGACATGCAGGAATGAGTTGAGTTCCACACAGGGGTTTATTTATTTCCCCACTGGAATGAGGGTTTGTGCTTTTATCAGCACGGAGAGCGAGGATTGCTGTGGGAATCTGCCACCCCTACACCCAAACACACAGACACAGGAGCTCCCAGTTCCTCCCACCCAGGGAAAACCCTCCACGGGTGATAAACAGGTTTCACTCACACACAAGACAAATAAATGATCTCATTTTATCTGTGTGGAATTAGCACCGAGACAGAGCATAAAAAACATTGCTGGAGCCAACTTTCCTTTCCTGCCTGCTGCCTGTAAAACAAGCTTTAAATCCTGAAGCACTGCAGTCTGAAAAAAAGACAAACACACACATTTACAGCCCTGAATGGAAATGACTCCCTTGGAGCTGACACTTCCTTCTACCCCCCAGGACATCCCAGTGAAAGAATCCCTGCACTTTTATATCCACAAATGTCACCAGCACTTAGTTCTGCACCTGTGATGCCTTGAGGACCTTCCATAAGTTAAAAAAAAAATAAAAAAAAACATAAAAAAATTAAATCATGCAAACAATCCCTCCCCAAGCCCAGGCTGCTGTCAGGAGTGCTGAGAGCTGGGCCTTGGTGCTCTGGGTTCCTGTCTGAAGGGATCTGCAGCAAGGCACTCGTGTGAAGCTGCCACTCTGCAAATGCCCCAGAGTTTAGAGCCAAGAAAGACACAAAAAGGAAAGGAAATAATAGTGCTTAACTCTAACTGGGAGGAGATTAGCCAGGAAATAAATATAATAAATAAAATGGTGTACATAGTGTGATGTGGGCTCACAAAAGTGCTGATAACAGATTAAACACATTTATTTCACTGGTTTCAACCACTGCTGAATTTTCCACTGTGCCTTTCCTACAGCTTTCCTTTTCAACCATCACAAACCCAACAAACTCATCCCAGTTCCATTTCAATAATTCAAAATAGGTGTTTTGTGCCAGGAATTGTGAGATTCATGCTCAGTGTGGCACCAGACTTTCCCAGAATCACAGAATATCCTGAGTTGGAAGATTCATGCTCAGTGTGGCACCAGACTTTCCCAGAATCACAGAATATCCTGAGTTGGAAGGGACCCACAAGGATCAGGGACTCCAACCACAGGTGAACACCCAAAAGCTCAGATTCAGCAGGGAAGGTTTAATATTAAGGGGGATTAAGTGCTGATTAAAGGGAGCATCCCTTAGAACAACTTGGAATTTGCTCATTTTCCTCTCTTCATGCCTGATT